ACCTCCCATAATACCTGTCAAGAGACACTGCACTCATCAGATTCATCACTAAGCCTGACACATAAGGAACGTCTGGTGGAGCCCCCCCCCCCCCCCGGCTGTTGAGACATCACGGGACCACAGCACCAACAGTTTGTTGATGCCTGGCTGCCATGTATATAGATGCCCATGGTCCTTATGTGATGTATAGAAAAACAGATCAGACAGGCTTGTCTGCCTATGATTCCTGATTTCCAATTTGGCATTTCCACCTCAGTATGGAGGACATTTGAATTGCTCTGTATCCAGTGGCAGGTTGGGGCTAGGCTCAGTGGGTAGAGTGCTTGCCTGGCATGCACAAAGCCCTTGGCTTCATACCCAGCACTGCATAAACAAACTGGGTATGATGGTGTGTGGCATATCTGTCATCTCAGCACTTGGGAAATGTAGGCAAGAGGATCAGGAATTCAAGGTCATCCTTGGCTACATAACAAGTTGGAGGCCAGCCTGGGCTACAGGAGACCCTGTCACACAACCATCAATATCACAGGAGACATTTTAGGAGCATTAGCTGTTTTGCAGCCATTGTCTGGCTGAGTGTGAGGCAACTGAAGGTAGGAAAGAGGGAAGAGACCCAAGGATGGAACAGCCACCCACAATGCTGTGGTGACAGAGAGTTTCCTGGGCCACCACCTTTTCTTCTTTTTAGGGAACGCATCCTCTCTGGCAAGCTAGTACGCAGAGCTGAGAAGCGGCTGAAGGAGGTGGTTCTTCAGGTGGATGAAGAACGCAGGGTGGCTGACCAGCTCAGGGACCAGGTGAGCAGATGGCATCACCACAAATGTCAGTAGGATCAAACCAGGAAATAACAGCTACCCTGGCCTGACATGTGGCTCAGTGCGTCATCCCAGTCATGGTGGAAACTGAGGCAGGAGGATTTCTATGACTTCCAGGATAGTCTATGCTACAGTGAGAGGCCCCTTCTCAAACCAGCAGCAACAATAAAAAATATCCTGTATGTAGTCTGTAGATGACAGAGCCTAGATGTAACTACTACAGATGTATGCCCAGGCAGAATCTCTGTGTCCTTAAAAGCTCAGCTATGCCTTGTTTACTATTCATTACATAAATGATTATTGAGCATGGCCTTTGTGCCAGGCACATTGCAAGGCATTTGTAGTAAGGTGCTGGTCCAGAAGGTCCTAGCCCTCACAGGGGTAACATTACTGGCCTAGGAAAACTATTATACATACAACCAGACAAAGATAATGCCAGACTCGGGTCAGGGCTGTGAAGAAAAAGAATGAAGATACAGGAATGGAGAGCCTTGTCCAGACTGGATGTTGGGAAGGGCTAAGGAGGGGACATTTGAATTAAGACCTTACAGGGGAGGTCTTAGCCAGATGTAAAGAGCAGGAAGTTCAAAGGCCCAGAGGAAATTAAATGAGCAGAATGAATCAGTATATCTAGAGAGAATATAAGAAATGAAGTTGGGATTGGAGATACGGCTCAACTGGTGGAGTGCTTAGCTAATATGCCAAAGACCTTGGTTTCCACCCAGCAGTGCACATGGGAGATGAAGGCAGGACCATCAGAAGTTCATCTCTAAAGGTCATCTTTAGCTCCATATTGAGTTCAAGGCCAGCCTGTGCCACATGAGACAAATGAAGTCACATGATAGTGTTCTTACCCTGGAGAGAGATGGCAGTGTCTGTGCAGATTAAGGTGAATACAGTGTGGTCACTGACTTCGTCAGAGACATGTACGTGAGGAAGACTATGTCAGGGCTGGCCTTAGTTAGGGCAGTCTTGGGGAGCTGATGGAGAGAGAGCTATGAGGGTTGGGGTAGCTCTGAGTGCACTAGCACTCCTTCAATGCAGTCACATGACTTTCAAATAGCCACGTGTTTATACCAGGCAGAGCACTGTCAGCCCAAGGAACTAGTTCCACCAGGCCAGTGTGTTTATCAGTGAGTGTTTACGTGTTCCACCAGAGAGTTTATCAGGGTCACTTACAGGAACATGGGTCATAGACACCAAAACCCCCCACCCCACCCCAGCATGAGTGATGGCTCACAAACACTGCAGCCCCAGAGGCCCACTCCTCTCAACTTCCTGCCTGCCTCCTAAAGGATCTTGCATTCCAAAGACCACGGGCCATGGGGTAGGAGTAGGGTGTAACAGATCTCACTGAGGTCTGGAACTCTCTGAGCCTTGTGGGATTGCTAACAGCCCCTTCACTCTTGCTCAGCACCAACCTGTCTTGTGCATATTTTGTCGCCAAAACTGAAGGTCTCTCAGTAGGTCACTACTGCTATTCCACCCCAAGATGACCCTGGCCTTGCAAAGGAAAGACTAAGGCAGGGTGGAGGCTGGTGTGGGGAGCACAGGGCGTGTAGCAGTAGGCATTGAGGACATCATAGGATTGATCTGGCTCTCTCCACTCAGCTGGAGAAAAGCAACCTCCGGCTGAAGCAGCTCAAGAGGCAGCTGGAGGAGGCAGAGGAAGAAGCGTCGCGGGCACAGGCTGGCCGGAGGCGTCTGCAGCGGGAGCTGGAGGATGTCACTGAGTCTGCAGAATCCATGAACCGGGAGGTGACCACGCTGAGGAACAGACTCCGGTAAGCTACCCACTTGCTGGTACCACCCTGGAGAGGAGTGCAAGACCTGGCCTAGATGGCCTGCACACGGATAGGACCCTAGGGAGCGGAGGAGGCTGTGGCCTCCCTGTCTTCCCACCTGTGCTTTGCAGTCTTGCCCAGGTGCCATCTGCACTTCTCTGCCCATTTACCAACCTTGGATCGCAGCTTTTCCTGTCCCCATCTTACCCTTTCTCCATCGGCATCTTTGTCCCTGCCTCTCTCACTTGTACATTCTCCTCCCACAGGCGTGGCCCACTTACTTTCACCACACGAACTGTGCGCCAGGTGTTCAGGCTGGAAGAGGGCGTGGCTTCTGACGAGGAAGAGGCTGAGGGAGCAGAGCCTGGTTCTGCACCAACCCAGGAGCCTGAGGCTCCGCCCCCTGCCACACCCCAATGATCCAGTCTGTCCTAGATGCCCCAAGGACAGAGCCCTTTCCAGTGCCCCTCCTGGTTTGTACTTTGAAATGACACTGTCCTCTGGTATTTTCTGGCATTGATGAATCCTACTGGGACCCCAGGACCCCTGCTTACTGGGGACCCCAAATCAAGGCCCCAAACCAAGAAGCTGGGTGAGAGGCTAGGATGGTCTCTTGTTAGAGAAACAAAATTGATGTTGTTTTGTTAGAGAAACAAAACATGGATGTCAAGGATGTCCTATCTACTCTTGTTTGCAGCAGGCCTGTCCCCTGGAGAGGGCAGGCAGGGTGCTTCTGTCCCCTCCCAGTATCTTCCCCTCTTTTTTTTGGGGGGGGGTCTCTGTGTGCTCATAGGGTAGTGCTCATGGTCCCTCACGCTCCACAAACTAAAGAAATAAACTGGCTGGACCCTTCACCACGGCTTTGTTCCTAATTGGGAACCAGAGCATGAGAGCCTGCTTCAGTATCTGAATATATGAACGCCTTCCTAGGAACAGGCTGTTTACCGTACCGTAGAAATGAAAGGTGTCTTACTATATGCTAGGCAAACCAGTGTGTCCTCAGCATCCTTGAGCATTGCTCAGAGTGAGACACATCTTCCTAGCCCTTTCAGAGTAGTAGAAACAGGCTCAGACAGGCTGAGCTTAGCCTCCAGACACTCGAAGTCTGAACCAGGATCCAAGCCACACACAGTCTGGCTTTAGGGTTGGTAATTCACAAGTAAAGACAGAGTTTTTACATCCACCTTTCACACCCACACTCTCTCTGTATCCTCGGGCTCCAGGGCACAAACTCATGCTCTCCTATATTCCAGTTAAGAGGGCTGTTCATTTGTTATCAAGGAAACCAAGGAGACGGTTGCTGAAGTACCCAAGGATGCCAAAAGATGAGTTCCCAGGAGCTGGAGTTTCTGGGCACTGAGTACAGGAACTGGAGTTACTGGGCACTGACTACAGAACTCCAGTCCGCTACAAGATCAGCAAGGGCTCTGAATGGCCGAGCCATCTCTCTAGACCCCTCCACATGACTTTTTTTGAGACAGGTTCTATCTTTGAAACCTATTTCACCAACTGGCTAAATTGGGCTGTAGATAGATATGTCGGTCCACCTCCTCAGTACTCTGACTACAGAGGTACTATGCCATGCTGAACTTTGGGTTCTAGGATTGAACTCATGCTTAACCAACCAAGCCAGTTCCTTAGTGCTCCGCTGCCGTCTTTGTAACTTTTGTTGTTTTATTTTTGTAGCTCTGGAAATTGAACCCAGAGCCTGCCTCAAGCTCTTCTGCTGCTGAGCCGTACCAGTGTCTCACTGGGGGATTCTGGAAAACTTTATTCCCAGCCCTTTTTTTTTTTCCTTTTTTCACCATTTTCCCCACCTTAACCTCTTGAGAGGGGTGATAGGCCAGTACCACACAGCCCAGTTCCACCCACACTTGAAGCTCCCTAGGTGCACCCCAAACTCAATGAGAAAAGCCACTTGTAAATGAAAAGGAATCATTTATTGGGCTGGGGAGTGGGGGGGCAGGTGGGGAGGGGCATGACACTGTTTCTTTGTGGGGGGAGGATTGACATGCGGCAGCTTCTGCGTGGGTGGTTCATGCACCCTGGGTGGGCGTGGGGGAGGCTTGGGGGAGGAGCCTGCTGACTCCATCCTCCCTGCCTGCGGGTGGGTCAGGAAGACCCGCCATTAGCACCAGAGTTGCAGACCTCCCCTCCCCCAGACTCAGGACCCGCCCCCATCCCTGAGAGCGCCCCTTAGCCAGCCCCTCCCGCGCCAGGTCAGGCTAGGCCCGTCCGCCCACTAGAAGTAGAGAAACTTATTGCTGTGAGTGTGTGGGGAAGGAGAGGAGCCATTGAGCTCAGAAAGACCCCCTTCCCCTCTGCCAATCATTCCTCCCCATCGCCCCGCCCCCAAGTCCGTGCGCCTCCCCCCTAGCGCAGGAGGGGTGCGCGACGCATGCGTGTGTATGTGGGGGGGCGCGTCATGCAGCGCATGCGTGCAGTTGCAGGCACCCTGGCGGCCGTGGGGAAAAGGGAGACCAGGACCTGGCTCTCCCTCCCCGAATCCCACACTGTTTGGTAAATTGGGAGATGTGGAGGGGCAAAAATCATGTTTTGTAGACGTTTATAATGACTGTAGCTTTTTAAAAATGCTTAACTAAAAAGCTGGATATGTGTAGGGAACTGGAGAGCAGAGGGAAACAGTGGGAAGTGGTTGGTACCCTTCAAAAAGGACTCTTACCCCTTTTCCCGCCCCATTCGTCTCTTTTGAGGGACAGGGGTATAATAGGGGTTGTTTAAATAAGTTGAATCCTTTGGCAATATTAGGAGTCCTCACCCCATACCCTGGTGTCTAGAGTCCCCTAGCCCTTTGCCCTGCCCCTACCAGATCCCACCCCACTCCTCAACCCCTGTCTCACCAGGGTTTAAGGTCCCGAGGGAAGGCGGGGGTGCGGGAGGGACTCAAAATGTCCCTTGCATAGGAATTGTTGCATCAAGAATTGGGCCCAAGGACACCCCCAGCGACAACTCTGGTGACAGCGGGAGGTTTCCCTGAGGCGGTGGGAACAAGGGATTGCTTATTCTGCAGACCACCCAGCTCCAAAGGGGGAGTTCGCTAAGGATTCTGGGACCAGTGTGGTCTCTGGGCTTGGGGGAGGTAGCATCCTGGAGCCCAGACGGGATTTGAGAACGTTTTCCACCCGAGAACGTGGCACGTGGTGGGCAAGGAAGCTGGGAAGGGCAGGCTGAGATCCTAGTTGAGGTGGGCGTGTCCTCTTTTCCCACCAGCCGGGCAAGAGGGGTTGCTGGAGATTGAACCCTGGGACCTTAGCACATTATGCAAGCGCTTTTAGCATTGGATCCCATCCTGTCCTTGACTTGTTTTCAATGGCTACACCCAACTGCTGCACTGCCAGGATGCACCAGCCGGGTGCCTGCCTGCAAAGAGCACACAAGTTTAAAACACTTGGTCGTCTGTGCACTTTGCAAACTTCAGCACACTAAGAGGGAACGGGAGTCCCACGCTCTGGGAAACTCTGGTGGCCATGAAGACAGTGTTTTGGCACCATGGGTGGTGGGGTGAGGAGAGGGCTGCCTAGACAGCGATGGTGGAATGGGGTGGAGCTCCCTGGAGCTTGTCCAGGAAGGTCTTATGTCAGAGGCGCCAGGGGACAAAGGAATGTGATGTCGGGGTTGAGGCCCTCTGGGGTTGGGGTTGGGGTCTTGAGGACGGTCAGAACCCCGAAGTCTGGAAGTGAGCTGGGGTGGAAAGGAAGGGTGGAAGGACGCTGTGGTGCAGTCCAGGCCAGTGGGGGATAGATGGAGTGATGGAGGTGGGGAGTGTGGGGCGCCGGAGTCCGTGGGGTGTGGGAGTGCAGGGTGCCAGGTTCTATCTCTTTAAGTCTAGGGTACTAGCCTCACATCTTGGAATAGAGTGGAGACTGCAATGGGTAGAGGGTTCTGGGCCTGGAGGCCCAAGTCCATGCAGCGAATAGAGGGAGCAGATCCCTGGAGGCGGGTGTGGGTGGAATGCACCAGCTGGCGTCCTCCAAGCCCAAGAGCAGCTGGCAGAACCCCCCCACCCCCAAGCTGAGCTCCTCAGGGCTGCGGCTGATTAACCTGTCTTCTTTTTCCTTTGTGTTCCTAGAGGTTTTTGTTTTTCCTGAATCAATTAGTGATGGGTGGGTTGCCCTTTGGGGGGTGACCAGGAAGACCCCTAAAATGCTAGGCCCGACCCCAGAGGCTCCCAGCAGCCTCCCCTCCAACTCTCTGCACAGCTCCTGGCGGCTTATTGCTGAAGAGGGGGTCGGGGAGGCATGCAAACTGGAGTGGGTGCCCCAAGATGGAATCAGCTTTTAGTTATTTACAGGGGTCGATGGGAGGGGTGTCCTATGGCTCATGGAGACCTGAGGTTTGCTTTTTTTTGGGGGGGGAAGGGGAGGGAGTTGTGGGGGTACAGGCTCTGGCCCCGTCCCCTCTATCTTGGTATCCTGGGTTCTCTAGTATATGGGGAGTGAGAGGCCCCGGGGGTGTCTGCTGGCATCATCTCTTTTGCATATTATTGACTATTTTTTTAAAGAACCCTTTCCCCACCCCTACTCCCAGCTCCTTTTCACCTTCCCGTCACCCCCTGTTCCCCCACAGGGGGAAGGACCACGCTAGAGGATGGAGGGCAGGGTCGGGGGAGCTCGGCGCGTGGCCCGGGGAGAGCCAGGGGGGGTGGCGAGGGGCGCGAGGCGCAGGGACACCCCGCTCAGGCCCACAATGCTGCTCAGGCTGCGGGACTTCTCGTAACCTGGGGAAGGAGCAGAGACAAGGGTGGGAGGGGGCGTGGGGATGGGAGCCAGGGTGAGGATAAGACAGAGAGCCCAAATAGGGATACACAGGCAGAGAGAGGGATGGAGAGGTGAGAGATGCCCAGAGACACAGAGATAGGTGGGATGGGCGGGCCGAGGAGATGGAGAGAGGTGAAGAAATCGGAGAGTCAGTCAGCATCCACAAGAAAGGTGCAGACACAGGGAAGGGGAGAGACAGGATTAGGAGGCAGGTGGTGCCCACTGAGCCTCCCCATCCAGCCATGCCCGCCCCTCTTCTCCCCCTCCCAAAGGTCCCCTGGTCTGAGGCCCAAAGGCAGCAGTTGGTGAGGTGGGATGGTGGGCAGCAGGGGCTGGGGTGGAGGCAGCAGCTGGTGGAGGGGGCTGGGCAGAAAGGAGCTGAGGGCCTGGTGCAGGGATGGGGAAGGGATCCATTCCTTGGGACCTTGTGCTAAGAGCTCACTGTGTAGCCCAGGCTGGCCTAGAACATCCTATATAGCTTAGGCTGGACTCAAATTATGTAGCCTAGACTGGCCTCAAACTCACTCTAGCCCAAGCTGGTCTCAAACTCACTATTTAGCCCAGGCTGAGTTCAAATTCAGTAGGTAGGTAGCCTTGGACTAAGAGGCATGAGTCATTTAACTCAGCATGGACATCTTTCAAGGGTCCAGGACATGGGATAAAATAGAGGTTTCCAAAATTGGATGAGGTCTGCTGGTGACAAGAAGCAGTAAGGTCACACAGCTCATGGGATCCCATATCAGGACCAGTATGGGTGGGTGGGGTTTTTTGGTTTCATTTTTTGTTTTTGTTTTGGCTCTACCAATACCAGGGGTAGAACGGTTACTCCAGGCATCCCAGGCTGGGAGGTGGTACTCAACTGCAGGAGTCTGGAGGGGAATGGAAGCCCAGTGTCTCTAGGACACTCCCTCCCACCATTCCCAGTTGCTAACCTGGGGGGAAGGGACAGGGGGAACCCGAGGGTCTCGCGAGGTCTCAGGCGGTGACAAGAGCTGGGGACAGAAATACAGAGAGTCAAGGGTGGGGGATGGGAGGCAGATGGGGGGCTCCCCAACACAGGCTCACTGTTGGGGGGACGGAGAAACGCCGGGATGTCTTCCTCCTCTCTGGTGTTTTCCGGGGGGTGATGGGAGCGGTGAAATGGGGGCAGCCAGAGACATCAAATATGGCAGGAGCTTCCGGGGCGGCTAGGAGAGGGGAGGGCCAAGTGGGGGGATGGGGGTGGGTACAGGAATAAGAGGTTGGTGTGAGGTGGGCGAATGGGCCAGAAGGGAGGGAAGACCTTGGGCGTGAAGGGGGGACGTGACAGATGGGGACAGGGGACGGACATTACACTGGGGCAGAGAATAGTCAGCCCCATCAGCTCTGGCCATCATTTGAGTTCAATGAATGGATTTTGGTGTCATATGCAAGAAAAGCAAGGGCCTCGTCCACCCAACTGGGGTCCCCGGCCTTCCCCCACTTACTTCACTCTACCCTCCATCCCCCCAGGAACCCCTTAAGGTAGGGTGAGGAATAGAGGGGTTCAATCGAGGAGGAGGAGGAGGAAGAGGAGGAGGAGGGGTGAGATGGAGGATCAAGGGAAGGAGTGATGAGATGGGCATGGAGGACTGGGGGAGAGTGGAGGAAGGACATGGGCCCTCTGGGCTAGGACCCTAAGTTCTCACAGCTGTCTGCTTCCCTGAGGTCTCTGGAACATGGGGGTTTCATTAGGCCTTTCCTGAGACTTGCCAAGTCCTGGGACTGAGGATAGCATGCCCTTAGGCTGAGAGCAGGGATTCTGGGTGTTTCTATTTTGGAAGAAGGTGCTATGATGTTTCTAGAAGTAGACCACACACCTTCAGTCTGCTTGTCATTTACTGGGAGACATTGGCCTCACTCAGCACTAAGGCCCTTCCAATGGTCTCTGAAGGCCTTCGCCAGTTCTTGCATGCCTGTCTCTTTCTTATTTATTTATTTATTTATTTATTTATTTATTTATTTAGGTTTTTCGAGACAGGGTTTCTCTGTGTAGTCCTGGCTGTCCTGGAACTCACTCTGTAGACCAGGCTGGCCTCAAACTCAGAAATCCACCTGCCTCTGCCTCCCAAGTGGTGGGATTAAAGGTGTGCGCCACCACTGCCTGGCTTTGACTATCCTTGACTGTCCCTTGACCTCTGACTCTTTATCCTTTCCTTTCATCTCCGTAGACCTGGTCCCAGCTAGGTCCCTGTCCTCTTGTCCCTAGATTCCCATCCCATCTCGCAGTCCCTGGCATGGCCCTACTTTCCTAGTGTCTCCTCTGATATGTCGACCTGTTTTCTACTTGGCCATTAGAAACCCCCAGGGAATTAAGTCTGCTCAGGTTGAACCCAGCTCTTAGGATCAGGGAGAACTCTCCAGCCTCACTCCATCCTGCACGTAGGAGTCGTCCAGGTGCATAGCCCACCTTGGTGACTGGATAAAAAAAAATAACCAGAGAGGGACGCAGACAGGTGAGGGTAGGGTCAGAGGTGAGGTGGGGGATGGGTTGAGTGAGTCAGAGGTGGGAGTTGGGGCTAGGTTAGTTCTGGAGTGTAAGGGCTAGGCAAATCCTGGGGTGACAGTAGGAGTCAGTGTCAGGAACTGGGTGCAGCTGTTCACCATGGGTGAGGGTCTCGGTCAGTGGGAGAGCATGTTCTCAGAGAGGTTAGTCAGAGGTACAGAAGGAAGGGGAGTCAGGAGGGGCCGTGGTGAGGAACTACTTACCCTGGGGGGAAGGGGCTCGTCCACTAGGGGGATATCCAGGCTGCTGCGTTGGCGTTGAGGTCGGGCAAGAAGCTTGGGGGGCCTGGCTTACGCCAGCATGGGGGGGACAGTGGGGGAGCACCAGTGGCTGGGGATGAGGGAAGAGGCCGGAGAGTCAGGGTGGGTGGGGAGATGGAGATGAAATAAAGACAGGTGAGGAACCTTGGGGCTCACGGTGAGGGAGGAGGAAAGAAGGCGGTTTTGGGGCTGAGGAGGAGAATAGAGGGAAGTCCAGCACCTCCCCCACCCCCTCTAATCCCTCCCATGGGCTGAGAGAGAGGAAGGGTCTCTGGGAAGCCCCTGGAGGGCACCTCACCTTTTCGGATGGAGCCATCCGGGGAAGGGGCATAGTCTGTGACAAGGAAGCAAGCTCGATCCCGGCTGTAGCGACCCCGGCTTCCAGGAGTGATCGGGCTCTTGTCTTCTGGAGACATGGCTGGCTGGTCAATGGCGGGGCAGTCCTCATGGGCCAATGCAGCTGCTGCAGGGTCTCCATTGGGACGGGGGTCCACTGCAAGGTGAGAGGCCATAGAGGAGAGAAGCTGAAGGTGGATGGTGACAGCGATGGAGAGAGGGAGATCCGAGTGACCCTGGGGTGTGGGGTACAAGGCGGGTGCCATGGCATGGGGGGGTGCTGAGAAGCAGGGAGGGCAGGTATGACGGGCGAGTGTGGACAGTGGCTGAGCAGAGGTGAGTGCTAGCGAGGGACAGTCAGCCTCGAGCGAGTACGCAAATGTGCAGAAGAGGAGAGTGGAGTGCAGTGCTCAGTATATGCAGGGTGGCGGCCGGGGCTACTTCAGACCAGGTATGCTAGTGTACATCTGTCATCCCATCCCTCAAGACACTCAAGAAGCTGAGGCAGAAGGATTCTGAGTTTGAGGCCAGCTTGGGCTGCATAGTGAGATACCATCCCCTACTCCCAACCTACCCCCCCCCCCAAAAAAAAGAAACCCCAGAAAGGGTGGGTGCACTGGCCAGGCAGAGAGGATGTCACAGGTTTCAAAGCAGTTGCTTAGGGACAAGTCTGGGATGCTGCAAAGGGTATGATGGAGAAGGGCTGGGAAGGTGACAGGTGAGGGAGGGTGAGGTGGGGGTCCCCTAGGCTCTGACTTGAGCTATTTTTAATGGATGGAAAACTGGGTCAGTGGCTAAGGGAGCAAGATGGGGGGCCAGGCAGACTAGCTCATTTTCTTGACCTACTTAAGGCCGGGGGGGGGGGCACTCACCTCCTTCCTCCAGGACACCCATGTCACTGCCTGCAAGAAACCAAGTCCCCCAGGACACATACAACCCGAGAAATCAGGCGCAACTGCTAGCTTTTTCCTCTCCTCCCTCCTCTTAATGGCCTGTCTCCATATATATATACACATATATATGGACAGTCTTGCTCTATAGTCCAGGCTAGCTCTGAACTCACCAGACTTGTGTCTTAGCTTCTCAAATGCTGGGAGAACAGGTGTGCTCAACCAGTCCTGACTGCTTCTTCTCTTACAAGAACTCTCTCGGATCCCTGGTGTCTCCTGCTGCCCTCTGCAGACCCTGCCTGGCAGTCTTGCACCCTGACTCTTGTGTTGGCCTTTGCTTGTTTCTCCCTTTCGACTTCCTGTAGGTGGGTCCTGACCTCTATCCTCGTGGCAGCCGATTCCATTTGTCCCCGTCTTAAGTGACTGTTACTTTCCCCAGCTCAGGACTATCAGCTGCAGTCACAACCTGTGACAGTAGCCAGGCCTGTTCCTAGCCTTCCTAGGAGTCATGTGAGACTTCCTGTGTTTTACACTGAGCCCCTTTCTTTTTGAGACAAGGTCTCATGTAGCTTAGACTGACCTTGAACTCCTGATCCTCCTGCCTATTCCTCTTCAATCCTGGAAGTACAGGCACACAGCACCATGCCTGGCTCTCATCCTTTTCTTCTCTCACCCCCTCTTCCTTCGCCTTCTCAAATAGAAATAGGAGTATCCTTAAGAATTGGTGTGAACTAGTAGCCCAGGAGACCACTCAAACCTTTTGTTTGTATGTATGTAGCCCAGGATAACCTGAAACACGTGCTGACCCTCCTGCTTCAGCCTCTCCAGTGTTGGAACTACCAGAAAGTGCCACTAAGCCCTTCTCTGTCTCCCCTCCCTTTTCTGTCCTGACTTCTCTTTCTTTCTCTTTCTATTTTTTTTTTCATGACTTTTGAGACAGGCTAGCCTCGAACTCCTCATTCTCCTACCTCTATCTCCCAAGTACGAGAGGTACCGAGAACCTCCAAAGGATGGGAGGAGGCATGCGCCATCACACCTGGGTTTCTGAATCTCTTTCTCCAAAGACCGTCACTATGCTGCTTCTGCCTTTCAGAGCAGCCTGGCTGAAATCCATGTTCACAAACACTCTTCTACATGGAACCCTGTTTCTGTGGCATTTTGTGCCTCCTCTCTAGCCATTTGTCCTTTCTGCTCTGTTGCTTCCCACCCTTCTCTGCCTGAACCTAAGAGAACCTAAGATGCCCCTGCACCCCCCCCCCAGCCCTGCCACCTTCCCCAAGGTCTCCCCACACCTCCAATCCTGGCCCCAGCCTCACCTGCCCTGTTGGTTTCAATCACCTCTTCTTGAGCCAGTGGGCAGGGCTCGCCAGGGGCTGGCAGAGGAGGCAACCCCATAATTCCCAAACCCCCAGCACCACCCCTGAGCAGCCCGGGGTGCGTGTGGGGTCCAGGTGGGTAGGCCCCAGCCACAGTCACCCCCATGGAAGGAGGAGTGATGGGCGGAGGTGGGCTGATGCCACCGCTGCCATGGTGGGGGTGTGGTGGGGGCGGAGGTGGGGGGTCAGGCTTGCAGTAGTTGGGTGAGCCAGGCTGCGGGGGCCTGGGGATATGTTTGTTTTTCTTCTTTGGCAATTTCTGCTTGGCCATAGCCAGTGAATAGTACATGCCGAAGTTGTTGACGATGACGGGCACGGGCATGGCAATGGTCAGCACACCAGCCAGGGCACACAGCGCCCCAACCAGCATCCCAGACCACGTCTTGGGATACATGTCTCCATAGCCCAGGGTGGTCATGGTGACCACAGCCCACCAGAAGCCGATGGGGATGTTTTTGAAGTAGGTGTGGTTGGAACCCAGGATGTCATCAGGGTCAGCTCCAATCCTCTCAGCATAGTAGATCATGGTGGCAAAGATGAGCACCCCCAGGGCCAGGAAGATGATGAGCAGCAGGAACTCGTTGGTGCTGGCACGGAGCGTGTGGCCCAGGACCCGCAGGCCCACAAAGTGGCGGGTCAGCTTGAAGATGCGCAGGATGCGCACGAAGCGGACGACACGCAGGAAGCCCAGCACGTCCTTGGCAGCTTTGGAGCTGAGACCTGACAGGCCCACTTCCAAGTAGAAGGGCAGGATGGCCACACAGTCAATGATGTTCAGACTGCTTTTGAGAAACTCCACCTTATCCGGGCAGAAGGTGACCCGCATGAGAAACTCAAAGGTGAACCAGACCACACACACGCCTTCCACGTAGGTCAAAAAGGGTTCAGTCTCCACCTCCACATTGGTGATATTCTCCGGGGGAGCCCCAGGGATTGGGGAGGCCTGCGTCACCGTCTTGTTGCTGATGTGGATGAAGCCCTCGTGGGTCTCCAGGCAGAAGGTGGTGATGGAGATGAGGATAAAGAATAGGGAGGCGAAGGCCACATACTGCAGGGGGACGGGAAAGAGAATGGGGGTGATTAACTTGTTTGTATCACTGGAATCTAAAGAACTTTCTGGTGGCCTCGCGTTCCCCACTTCAGGACCCAAATCCTACAAGAATCCAAGCATTACCATATAATGCTTCCGCCACTTCTAGCAATCTGTTCTGAGACAGGAACCTCTAGAGGTTCAGGGCAGGAGCTTGCCACAGTGACCTAGGGAAAGAGCCCTCTCTGGGTTCTGTATCAGGGGTCCCCAGAAGGATCCAAATATTCTACTTGCAGGTGGGGATGAGAATGAATATAACAGTGCCCTTGTCTCAGAGGTTTGGTACTCCCTGGAGCTGAGGAAGGGAGAGGGCAGGTGACAGGGGATACTAGCCATAACAGCGATGCAAGCAGATAAGCACTCTGCCCCCAGATTCATTCCCAGCCTTTTCTTTTATTTTGAGACAGCGTCTCTAATTTAACCAGGCTGGCTTTGAACTTACAGTCTTCTTGGCTCAGCCTTCTAAGTAGCTGAGATAACAGGCCATTAAGCCCGGCTCAAAAACCTGGGCTAGAATTGGTCAAACTGGAGCAAGGGTTAAGCTTTCTGAATCAGAATTTTGTTTTTTAATGGAATTGTTATGAAGATTTGGTGAGTGTACAGAGGGCTTGCTTCCAAAAACAGTGCTTGGCTGAGTGCCTAGAACACAGTGAGAGCCGAGCTGTTACTAGGGTACGGTGATCAGCTAGTGGGGGCAAGGATGGGGGGTCAGAGAATGGCTAGGATCTAAGGACCTCATTGTCAGTATCCCACTGAAAACAGAGACCTAGGGGGCAGGTCAAGGATGTGGAGGAAGCTCTAGAGGGAAAGCCTTACTGGGTTCAGGCTAAGGAGATGGAAGAGGAATGAGGAACGGAAAGCCTTGTGGATGGAGAAGGGCTAGGGTTCTCGAGAGGTAAATTCAGGGGCCTAGACTATGAGCCAGAGTCCAATAACTCGGGGGGGGGGGGGTGAGTAGGTCCCGGGCCTTAAGGTAGGCTGGGAGAGTGGTCACTAGTGTAGACCACCGACTGGATTTCTCCGCAGTGGAGAAGAAGCCAAAGACCTCTGCAGAGCGCATGCCCGGAGCCTTCCCTCCCCCACCTGCAGGCTACAGCACTGCAGTGGAGGCGGGCCGACCCGGCCCGGAGGAGGGCGCGAGGCGGCCAGAACCACGGACAGCTCCCCCAGCCGCAGTGCGCAGCCGCAGTGCCCTGATCGTCTTAACTCCTTCCTGGCTAAAGCATCGCAAGCCAGCGCGCAGCCGCAGTGCCTATGGCTTAGGCTTCGTGGCTAGAGGCCACCTATCCTACAACTTGCGTAACCCCTTCCTTCCCAGGGCCCCGAGGAAGGGTGGGCACCCACTGCAGTGTACAAGTGCAAGGTTGGTTTCCCCTGGAGTTACTCTTAAGCAGAAGGCATGGAGGGGTACCAAGGCTCTGTAAGAAAGAAAAGAAAGCGAAGCCAGAAGGACTGGACCCTGAGGCTGGAGGTGGTTTGCGGCCTCAACTTGCAAGAAGGTCCACCTGGAGGTTGGAAAGTACCGGCACACAGCAGATACTCAAATAAATAAACAATTAAAAATATGTGCAAATAAATAAATAAATAAATAAATGAGTAACCTTCGTAGCCATTCTCGATCCTTAATCTGATCGCCACCCAAAGACTCTATCTCTGTTTCAGCACCCTTCAATGGGGTCAAAGGAATGAAGGACTACCCAGGCCATCGAGTGGGAGAGGAGATGCTCTGAGGCCCAAAGGAGCATCTGAGGCTATGTCCCTCCTGCCCCTCTTACTTTCCCCTTCCCCCCAGCTCAACCCCAAATGTCGCCAATTCAGCGCTTCTCGGGGACTAAACTTTATGTGAAGCCTCCGTCCCCCCCCTTCCCCCCCCCCGCAGTACGAATGCGGCACTGCGGCTCCGGCTCCGCGTCCTTCCTGGCCCAGGACGCCGCACGGCAGGGGGCGGGGGCGAGTGAAGAATAGCTATCCGTTACCCACTTTTACTAGTGCCCCTTCTTTTCCCCCTTCTTTTCCTGAACTTACCGCCAAGCTATTCCCACATACCTCGCTCCAGGGTCTCCTGGCCCAAAGGAAGTTTAAGAAGAGGGAAAAACTATGGCCAGAGCTATCAAGAGAGTATTCATAAGGCCTGGGAAGTTACTGAAGCTTACAAACTTTTCCAGGAGAGATCTTTGAGGGAATCTGGGGTTTCTAAAAAAGGAGAGGGTGGAGAAGAGAGGAGGACCGGGGAGGGTTCTGGGTTTACGCCAGGGGAAGCAAACAGAAGAGTGATGGTAGGGGGTGTCGAGAAATGGAGGTTGGGGGAGCAAGGCTGGAAGAGGAGAACCCTGTGGGTTGAGCTATCCCAGGAGTAGATAGGGTGGGAATTGAAAATTTTCTAGGCTGATGACTTGGATTTGAGGTGACACAAACTTCTGAAAGTCACTTGGCAGAATGAGAAAGTACCCAAGGAAGGAGGGATGGAAATGAAATTAATCCCAGAGGCACAGGGCAGTTGTGCAGTTGGAGGGAAGGGTACGCTAACTGTGAGCAATTCAGGGTGGAGGGGACACATACTGGGGGCACTGGAGGGGTAAGTATAACATGGGGCCCTTCTGGAGACACAGGAGTAGGATCTGCTGGACTTGAGGGAGGAAGTTCTTTGCAGGAGGTGGTAATGAGGGTGAAGAATTTGAGGGTTTAGGAAAGAAGACCCGCCCCCCCAACACACACTCAGCTAGGTTGTGGGAAAACTGTCCTGAATAGGACCAGTAGTTTGGAGGTTCAAAAGGCTCTGAGGGTTCCTTGGGGGCAGGGATCTTCTAGAACTTTGAGAGCTAAGAGCAGATCACAACTAGGAGGCCCAAAGTTAGAGAGAAAAACAGATCTAGGAGTTGGACCCAGGGAGAAGAGGGAGGACTCCAAGGAGAGAGAGATGGAGAAGGAGGGTCTGGAGGGGGGTGGGGAGGATCAAGAATAAGTAAACGGCTTCGGAGTGTTCAAGGGACAGTGAGGAGTTTTGGAGAGGCTGAGGACATTCTGGGGCCCTGCAAAAGGTGTTAGGTGTGTGGGAAAGGCGGGGTGGGACTGTCAAGGAAATCCAGATTTTCGGCTAGGAAGCTGTTCCCCAGAATCTATGATGACTAGCAGCAGTGAGTTGGGGTTTAGAAGGTCCCAGAGATGCTGAAGGTTCGAGAGGTGTCCTTGGAAGGGTGGCCTAAAGAGAGGGGTGTGTTTGCAGGGGCGCAGGGAACTCCAGCTGCAAAGAGGAAGGGCTTCCGGAGAAGTGGGGAGACCGGGAGGTGGAGGGATATTGGGATGGAAACAGAGCGGTTAGGATAATGAGTGCTCGGAGAGCGCGCTCACCCTGGCGGCCCGCGACGAGTAGGGGTCCTCAAAAAGCGCCCAAACACGGGGCTGCCAGCGCCTCCACCAAGTGCCGCCCGCGCCGCCCGCGCCCCCGGCAGGTCCTCCGGCACCTCCGCCCGCGTCCTGAAAACACAGACGCTTGAGCTCGCCGCCTGCCCCGTCCAGGCCGCCGCCTCCTGCGCCCGCCTCGTCGTCCAGGCCTGCATCGTGGGCGCCTCCGGCATTGGCGTTGGCGTTGGCCGAGGAGTCCGGGGCCTCGAAGGAGTCCAGTGCCTCCTCGGCGTCACGGTGCTGGCGGTAGGTCATCCAGCAGCAGGCCTCCACGTCCGTCTCGTCTATGCCCCAGAAGCCCAGCTCCTCCTCGAAGAGCGGCCCGCACACGTCGGCCGGGCAGTGCAGCTTGCCGGTGCGGTAGTAGTTGAGCACGTAGGCGAAAACGCCCGGGTGACGGTCGAAGAAGAACTCGTCCGTGCCCGGGTCGTAGTCAAAGCGTGCGGCCGCCTCGGGCTCGGTCAGCCCGGCCAGCCGGGTCCCCGGCAGGGTGCGCAACGTGGAGCGGTACGTCTCATGGCGCACGCCGCCCACGTTGATCACGATCTTACCGCTGTCGCCGCCGCCGCCGCCGTGCCGCCCCATGGCCACCGCCGGCAGCCCGGGGCATGGCTCGGCGCGCCGGCCCCCAGGCCCGCAGGAAAGCGGGGCGCCCGCCGGGGAGGCGGCGGTGCCGGGCTGAGCGCACTGCTGCTGCGGCGGCGGCGGCAGAGGCGGCGGTGAGGACTCAGGCGGCTGCGGCGTTGGCGCCGGCTGAGGCTGCTGCTTGCCTGTCCCCTGGCGCCCGCGGAACGACCAGACGCACACTGAGCTGAACATTGGACAGGGAGGCGGGGCTGAAGGGGGCAGGGTCTCGGGGGCGGGGCCCAGGTAGAGAGGCAAACGTGATTGGACAGGAGGAGGTGATGAATGGATGGGGAGGGTGTGATTGGGCGGGTGGAGGGAAGACACGAGCTGATTGGGTTGAGAGACTAGGCGGGGCCACGGCTCGACCCAGCCTAGCTAGAGGAGGTGGGGTTGCACAGAAAGCTCAGGGATTGGATCCTACCTAGGAGAGGGCGGGGCGTCAAGAGGATCCTAAAAAATGCCTAACTCAGCAGCACAGCGAAAATGTAGAGCTCAGAGCCAGGTATGGGAAAGACCCAGGTGCGGTGGAGGCAAGGGGATCAGGCGTTCAAGATCATGCTACAGAGTGAGATAAGGACCAGCCTGGGCTGCATGAGACTCTGCCTCAAAAAAAAAAAAAGGCCTATCAAATCTTTTGCGGGGGTGGGGCGGGGGGCGGAAATCACAACAAGAGAAGCTGACAAAAAGAAAACAAATTGCCTAGAGCCCGGGCAGGCAGGACCTGCACGGAAAAGGCAAATGAACGGGAAAGTAGTAGTGATTGGATGCAGTGAGCCCAAGAGATTTACCGTCCGTATTGGGCCGGGACAGTGAGGGGGAGGGTCTCACCTGAGTTGGGGGCGGTACAAGGGAACTGGAGGTGGAGTTGGAACGTGATTAAATAAAAAACTGACAGGAGACAGTCGAAGCGGAAGATAATGGGACGCTACCGTAAGGGAAGGAAGAGGAGGCCTGGGAACGTCTGGATGAAAGCTAGGGAGGGACCGAGGCTGCAAGTTGTGGAGTTCAGGGAGCCCCTTAGGTTTGCTACCCTGCTTCAGTCTTAGCATCCCAAGTAGCTGAGATGACAGATGAGCACCGTCAGGTCCAACTGGAAGTAGCACACTTGGACTTCGTTAGATGAGGATGGACCTGGGCGAAGAGAGTCCAGATGAATGGGAAGAGACACAGGCAGATGGGCAGGGTCTATATCTTACAGAAACATCTCAGTAGTCCAGAGGAAGACGCGACTAGTAAGTGGACGGCAAAGTGGGGCGCTAAAAATGAGCATTTAGAACGGCAGGAGCCGCCAGGCTGGTAGGATGGAGTTCGGGAAATGAGACAGCTGTTAGGGAAGGACACTCATTGCTGGACACGGGGTTGGGGGTGGGCTGGAATAGAGAGATTCATTGTCAGAGACCCAGGAGGATGGTCTACCGGGTCTTACGGGAGGGGCAAAAGTTGCCAGCTGGTGGAAGAAAGGGAATGAGGCCTAGATAACGAAGATTGCAGACAGGAGGGCCAAGAGATGGGTAAAGGAGTGGGCACCAGGCATGCAGGGTGGAGCGCCACTGGGAGCACGGGCAACAGCTTCTCAACCACGAGGTCAGACGGGACCATCGGAAAGGGGCGGGGTTACGGAGGGAAAAGTGAGAGGCCAGAGCAGAGACCGCACACCTCCGACCGGGTAGGCCCCGCCCTCTGGGCGGTCCTAGGCGCAGGGCTGGCAGTGCGCGAGTGCCACGACTGCGGCGGGGGCTGCAGCGGGAGGAGGCGCCTGCGGGAACGAAGAGGGCGGGTCACGGGCTGCGGCGGTCGCTGGCTCCTCGCCTTCCTCTGCAGGCTCTTACGCGGGTTCGTATTCCCATCTCCAGACCCGTTCCTGCTACTGTGTGTCTGTCACCTTTCTCGGTTGTCTCTGACTGTCCTCCTACCTGTCCCCACCACTCTAGTTATTATCTGGTTCCTCTATGTGGATCTCTCCTTTCTCTTTGGGTCTTTGTTCCCTTCCTCTAGGTCTCAGTCCTTCTCTCTCTAGGTCACTTACCCTCCCCCATCTGGGTCTATGCCTCTCTGGGACTCTGCCCCTCTCCCTCTCTCTGGGTCTCTGCCTCTCACTTTCTGAGTCTCTATCCTCAGCTTCCTCTCCCCACCCGTCCCTGGGCCTCTGCTTCTCTCAGGGTCTCTGTCTTCCCCTCTCCCTGGGACTTGGTTCCTCTCTGTCTCTGGGTCTCTTGGTCGTAGTGTCGCCTTGGTCTCTGTCTCCTGCTCCTGATTTTTAGTTCCTCTGTTTCTGGGTTCTCTACCTCAGTCTAACCCCGTCCTGGCAGTAGTTGAATCTGTGTTGCTTACGGGACAGTTGCAGAAATGGGGCCTGTCCTGCAAACCCAGGAGTGCATCCTCCCCAGACCCTGGAGCCCCCTCCTCTGGAGACTTCAATACTCTGACGGATCCACCAGGGCAGAAAATAGAAAGAGGTACTCACTGCCCACTTTGTACTCCTACTGCTGGCATGTCACAGAGAAGCTTGCTGTGAGGTAGTGGGTGTGGGTCCCAGATCGATCAGGGATAGGGTTGCAGGGATGGGGCGGGGTTGGGGTATGCATTAGAAGTATGGACTAGCACTAGGACCTAAATCACAATCCTTCCACACCTCACCTCCACCCTGACTTTCTGCTTTTAACAGCAGTCACGCACAGGATCCAGTTACCAAATAAATACATTAGTGTTTTGTTTTTCCCCTAAAGGTCAAAAGTTGGAAGTGAGGTAGAGGCTGGTGAGAGAGGAAACAGAGAAGACTTGTGAGGCTAGAGGCAAGCAACAGTTTGAAACTCATGGAGGCTTGGAAAACTTGGGTATTTCACTCCCAGTGCTTCACCAGGGTGCAGGGAGAGGAGTTGGTCACTAGAGAATCACCTGAGATTGGATGAAGCTCCGTTACAGGGTATCCAGAGGAGGACAGAATCAAGGCTGAGAGGGGGATGTAGGAAAGAAAGATGTCTGGCCCTTTCTTGAGACTCTTCTCAGTCCTGGTCCACCTCATCCATCCTCATCCTTCCCCTCTGTCATCCCTCTGACTGTCCCTTCCCCTATTCCCAAGGCCATGTCACTAGGGACCAGTCTTCCCCTCTTGGACTTCTAAGATTCCTTTGTGCTCCGCTCCCTACCCCCATTCCATCAGTGCAAAATCCAGGAAAAAGTCTCAGTAAATCGGAGACTGTGGGAACTCACAGCAAAAGACTCCCCCCACCACCACCCCCAGACTGTGGTGGTGCACGCCTTTAATCCTGCACTCAGGAGGCAGAGATAGGCGTAGTTCGAGGCCAGTCTGGTCTACAGAGTGAGTTCCAGGACAGAGAAACTATGTCTTCGAAAACATAATACAAAACAAACAAAAAAGACTCCCCCCCCCCACACACACACAAGCCTTGGCCCTCCCCCAAGCTCAAAATCCAGGGGGGATCTTTCTGCTCTTCTGCTGCAATCTTTGGTCCCGTTTTCCCTGTCTCACAAGCCTAGATGTAGTCTGTCTTCCCGCTCCCAGAGCTTGAGCCTCTGCCCCCTCCCCGTACTCACCCCAAATTTAGGCGAGGAGGGGACTGAAGGGATCTGGCGGTGGGGGAAGAGTGACCGTGCCCCCATACCTCTGGGCAGCGAGAGACTTGCAGATGGAGGCTGTGACATCACCACTGGAGGAGGGACAGCCCCTGCTCCCCAAAACCCAGGGTCTTCAAGCTCCGCCTTTATATCTGACCCAGGGGCCTTGGAATCTCCAAGTTCGTAGGATGGTGACTTCTTTCCTTAGAACAAGGACTGGAAAACCCTCTACCGATGTAATCCCCATTGCCACCTGTCGCTGTCATCGCGACCGGTCGCCTCCCACGCTTGTTGTGGCTGTGGCCGCCTCCCCCGAGACGCCAACAGGGAGAGGACTACAAAATCCGTGATGCTCCGCGGTGTGCGGCCCTTTGACTACAGGCAGTGGGGGCCAGAGGTTTCATGGGGATTGTTGTTCCCGGACCTCTCGCGGGCGCGCACCCTGCAGAATGGGATGCTTCTCTTCCATCCCCTCTCTTCCTTAATTCTAGAGGTCAAACATTCATTTTCCCTTCCCGAAAGTTACTCAAATGATGTCCTTCCATGGAAAATTGATTTTTTTTAATTGGAAAGAAGCATAGCTGCCGTGGCCCTGTGTGCATGCACCCTAACCAGGGTATCTTCTGAGGAACTGCGCCTGCGTAGCCCTTCTTTCTGCCCGTCTTGTTGCATGAGACCTAGCACGCGCCAGTCCCACGCGCGGGCCGATGTTTTTGTCCCCTCGGTCAAAGACGGCCACATAGGGCCCCAAAAAGACGTCCCCGAGGATCCAGAGGGGTCCCTCAGGCTTGGGGATGTCCAAGGCCTGGAAGCCCAACAGGCAGAGGCCAACATCACTCTGCAGAATCTGCAAGGTGACAACACAGGACACTGTATCACGAGGCTCCGGGTTTGCTTGTCCCCTCTGCACCCAGAAGAGGACAAGGAATGTTTCTAGCTGGGCATGATGCCATCAGCCAATGATGCCTGCGCTCCAGAGACAAAGGCAGGAGGGTGGGGAGTTCAAGGCCAGCCAAGGCCACACACATAAACTCCATTTTAAAGGAAGGAAGAAAGAAAGAAATGAAATGAAAGAGAAGTTATGAAATGGCTCAGCTGGTAAAAGTGCTTGCAGCTAAGTCTGTCGACCTGAGTTCAATCCTCAGACCCCCTCGTACTAAGAGAAAATTTGATTCCTATAAATTGTCTTCTGACATATATATGCATGCTGTAGTCAAGGGCGGGTGCACACACAAAATAAACAAAAATTTTTTTGAAAGGGAGAATAGAAAAGGCAAAGCAAGGTCCAGGCTAGGTGCTGGCAGGCCTTTGATCCCAGCCCTTAAGAAGCAGAGGCAGGCCAGGCGGTGGTGGCGTGCGCCTTTAATCCCAGCACTTGGGAGGCAGAGGCAGGCGGATTTCTGAGTTCGAGGCCAGCCTGGTCTACAGAGTGAGTTCCAGGACCGCCAGGGCTACACAGAGAAACGCTGCCTCAAAAAAAAAAAAACAAAAAAAAAACAAAAAAAAAAAAAAAGAAGGAAGCAGAGGCAGAACCTTTGAGTTTGAGGTCAGCCTAGTCTGTATTAACAATTCTAAGCCTGCCAAAGCTACACCGTGGGAACCTGTCTAAAGATTCC